CTATCAGACTATTTTTTGATATTAATAAATTGTATGTCATTACACAGCTGTATTAAATGCTAATAAATTATCCTCATCTTATCTATTGGGAGTGTCAATGTCAAGGCAGTAGTACCAGTAAATAACCACTATGTGTCAATAAACTATGTAAACAGAGCAAATATGTGTATCTTATTTGCTCTGTTTACATTTAACCAGTGGCGGCTCCAGACAATTTTTATTGGGGGTACAATGGGGGGTCCTGGTCATTTCAAGGAGGTTCTCGAGAAAACAAAAATTGCAGTGGAAAGCTAGTAACTGCATATCACTGCTACTAAACAACAAAATACTACAACTACTTTGTTTTTAATTAATTAGTCAATTGCAGTGTGCAAATAATATCCTTTAATTGCCATAGCCACACCCATGACACTAAACACCCACGACAGAACACATATTTACAAAATAGTATCTGTTCTCATACTCTCACCACTTCTGTCCAGTTTCCCCCTCCTGTCTGCTCGTCTTTTCTCCAGTCTCCTCCTCCTTCTTCTCTGCTGCATTTGTGTAGTCTCCTCCTGTCTTCTTCTCTGCTGCATTTGTGCAGTCTCCTCCTGTCTTCTTCTCTGCTGCATTTGTGCAGTCTCCTCCTGTCTTCTTCTCTGCTGCATTTGTGCAGCCTCCTCCTGTCTTCTTCTCTGCTCCTCTTAAGTCTCCATTTTCCACAGCTGTGGTTTACTGCAACATATGAGTTTAATGTACACAAGAATAGGTTAATATTTATGCTAACAACAGCAACACAATGGAAAGAGATTCACTTTTCTGAACAGCAGAAATATGTCTTGACAGCATAATCACAATCTTGTGCTGAAATAATAAAATGTATACATAAGACAGCTGTTTCAGATGTGAATAAACTTGGTTTGTTTCTCATATTTCATTTAGTTATAGTAGAACGTATAGCCCAATATTATACATTTAATTGATACTGTATGCATCTTACATTTGATTTTCATATTCACTTCACTTATTAAAAAAAACCTTACATTTACAGATGCTTTCTCCTGAGTTTTGATGTGGTGAAGTCCTCGATGATGTCTTGAAAATCCAGTGCAGTTGTGAATCCATTTTCAATTGCTAACAGAGCAAAGGCATTCAGTTTTTTTCCTGTGACTGTTGCTCTCCGATGTGTTTTTACTCGATTCAACACAGAAAATGATCTTTCTCCTGAACAGTTTGCAATCGCTAATGTCAGATTCATGCGAAGGCAAATGTCCACATTAGGAAAAGCATCCCTCAAGCCTAGCTCTAGAAATTTCTTGTACATGGCCGTGACTGATTCTTCATCTTTTACCATTGACATGAACTGACAAAACTCTGCTGTAAAGTCCCCCTCAAGATCCTGGGTGTATATTTTCTTCAACTTGTCTGTGGCTGCACGGATTTGTTCAATGTTCATTGATTTCCTTTTAGTAAGGAAACCAAATTTTTCCTTCACGTTTTTGTATGCATCTTTGCGTTTTTTCATCTCTTGTGACAAGCAGTCACAGAGGACATAATGGGTGTCAATCAAGAATGCTTCACGGCCTGAGCGCTGCACCTCTGGACCTGCAGACTCATCAAACATAACTTTCTTTACTCGTCTCCTTTGGCTATCTGCTTTGTATCCCTCTGTCGCTGTGAGAGTCTTGGCCTCTGCTTCATAGACATCGAAATAATTTCTGGCCTGTCCTATGTATTCTATGAGTGAACTGTACAGAATAGGAACAGTACATACATCAGTGTATACCTGTTGCAATGCTTTGCTGGTTACATTGATTCTTCTCAGCAGTTCATCCCACAGCACTGTCATAACTGCAGTTTCAAGGGTTTCCATCACTGTTATTGACTTGCCTCATATTGCGCAGCTCTGGGGGTTCCATGGTCAACTTTGATTTCATTCAAAGCATCCTGTATAGCTTTGTAGCCAAATCTCAGAGCTTTTGTTGCATCGGCTCTTGCAGACCATCTTGTGCTGGAAAGGCTCTTCAGTGTCAGACCTTGCTCACATTTTGTCAGATGGGCTGTTAAAATCTCCCACCGCCAACTTGAAGCTGAGAAGAAGTTGTAGAGATTTTGAATGAAGCCAAAAATTGAAACCGCTTCAGTGCAACATTCTGCTGCACATGCACCAACTAAATTAAGAGAATGTGCAGAACATGGGATGAAGTCAGCATTAGGATTTTTATTTTGTATTCTTGCTTGGAGACCAGAACACTTCCCTGCCATGTTACTAGCATTGTCGTAGCTCTGCCCACGACAGTCCATCAAATCAATGTCCAGTTCTTTTCATTGAAATTTGAGTGTTTCCTCCATGTGTTCTGCAGTGTGACCATGTAGAGGTATGAACTCCAAAAATCTCTCAACAGGCTCACCACTTTTCTTCAGGACATATCGAATTATCAAAGTAAGCTGATCAACATGTGTGACGTCAGGTGTTGAGTCCACAATGATGGAGAAATACTTGCCATCTTCTACTTCTTTTACAATGGCACGCAGAACTTTCTCAGCCATCAGCTGAATAAACTCATCACAAACTGTAGAGGACAGGTAACTAGTATGTCCCCTGCCCTTGTTTCCATATCTGGCTAGATGCTCTGACAGAAGTGGATCAAAGCGACTAATTAACTCCAAGCAGCCCAAAAAGTTCCCATTGTGGGGTGATCCTTTTAACTCATCATCTCCACGGAATGGCAGTCCTCTTGAAGAAAGAAACTGAATAGTTGCCACTATATGTTTCAAAATGTTGAGCCAGTGTACTCTCTCAGACTCCTGTTGCTGTACTATGTTTGAATCTATGCGTGCATTTTTATTTCCAAGTGATGATAGAGTCAGCACAGCAGTACGATGATCCATACTATTCTCATGTTCATGCAAGCGATTAGCACAGTTTTTCCAGTCATTATATCCAGAGACAAATGGATTGTCTCTTACGCTAAACAACTTGCAGCAGAAACAGAATACAGTTCCAGTAGACGGTGAGTACACTAACCATTCTCTTGACAGCGTTTCTCCATTTAGCTTTTTTCTAAAAAAATGTTCCTTAGTTAAGCATCAATTTACGTCTCCGTATTTCCTCTGTGATGCAGAGAAATCTCCAATATTTTGAGAGGGATGGTTTAGGGCAAGTACTCACGCGTCCTGTCATAAATTTCGCACCACTTTGCAGGATCAGATGGGTAGTTTGTTAATAGCCTTTCTGGGTCTGGAGGCTCCTGCTGTATACTGGGCTCACTTCTGGCTCGCTGCTGTCCTTCCAGTTCTTTCTGTGACTGTGTTGATGTTGATGGAGTTGGCTCCACAACGTCTTCCGTCGCATTTCCCACCGCATCTTCCACCTCGTCTTCGGGCCGTGTCTCCTCGGGCCCGGCCTCTGCTGACTCCAGAAGGTTCACAGCTGTCGGACGGCTGCCCGAGCAGCCAGACAGAAACTTCTTTAAAGCCCCTTGCTGTTTCTTCTTTTGATCCTCTTCTCTTGTTTGTCTTTTTACGTGTTGCTGCACCCGAAAGCATCGCGAAAGTTAACCTAAAACACCTGCTACAAGCTTAGTTGTGTCCCGCTCGATGGTCCCGCTCTCACTCTGACCGCGTCGTTCTCTGACGTCCTTAATTGGGTGGCACCCAAGTTGTAGGCTACTGTGACAGGCTGGCATTAATGTGACGTAGATAATGTAACAGTCTATGGTTAAGATAAACATTGTCACTATTTTTAGTTAATAAATATTGAAATAGATTGTAGAGAGGACGAATCCTCTCTACAAAGTCTATCATAGGACATTTGTACATTTTATTTTTTATTTTTTTATTTTGTCCCTCTGCCTGGGCTCCATCCAGCCAATCACGTCCCTAGGCACGTGCCTAATTTTCCTTTGCGTTAATCCGGCTCTGCCTGTAGATAATGATTTTGCTTCTCAAGCATTTGTGGAATGCATTTTTTCTGTGTGTGGAGTGCTGTCATCTGGACAGAGAAAAAGAGCAACCACATCTCTGGAACAAGGGGTTTTCCTTAAAATCAACAAAGAGCTCTTAAAAAAAAACAATTATTTATTAAGGGAAATCTAAATTACAAAAACATATCAAACCAGCTTCCAACAACTGTGATTGACTATCAGAATATGTGCAAAAAGTATCCAAAACATTGTACCCATGATGGCTTGACTGTTATGTTGCAGTATTGACAGTCCGTTTCAGGGGCAGGTCAGGTTGGCTCTATTCACACATGTATCAGCACAGCATGAAACACACGAACAGTTGAGATCTTTTGAACTGGATTTCTGTTCAAACGTTTAGAACAATTCATGTCATGCTATTTGGATGACCTCAGTTTGTAGGAAAATATGAACGAGTTAACAGCTAGTCTGAGATTCACTCAAGCTGTTAATGTGCCCATCTCATAGTGCAGGAGTGTCCTGCACTATTGTGGTTTTAGTGATGTCAGTCAGTTCTATTGTTTTGTCAGAACTGTAGAACCAGCATTTAATTTATTGTCTCCTAATATTCATATTTAATTTAATCTAAATTACTTCAGAGATTGCAAGTTCTGTTGACCTACATACACTCGCTGTTTTGAAAATGCATTCTGCAGCTGGTTTGTATCCTGTTCAGTTCATTTTTTGTTATTCTGCCTGGAACGTATGGTAGCTCACCTGTTCAAAAAGAATATGGTTTTGAAAACAGTTTTGTTACACACAGTAATTTCTATTATCAGTATCAACAAATAAAAACTAAACTGAAACTAAAAAGTAGATGAAACTAAAACTAAACAGAACAAAAAAAAACCTCGAAAATAAAGACTAATGAAAAATGCTTAACTATTCAAATATTGGCAAACCACAGTTTATGTATATTAAAATGTAAAATTTCCAGCGAAGAGGAAAATTTTGAATAAACAATTACAAATATCAATGAAAAAAGATTAATTTGTTAATAGACTAAATAAAATTTGATTCAAAAAAAGAAAAATCTCACAGTGTGCCTTTAACAGAGCTTTGGAATTAGCGTATGTGTTCAATGAGTGGGTGACACATTTTTTTCAGTGCAGTGGTCTCTAGTAGGATTGAATATCTCGTAAATGGTTCTCAGGGGGAACAAATATACTGTTGCACCATTTCTCATACCTAAAACATTCCCACTTATCAGCTGAGCTTTAAACGGTGGGTTGTGGAGTCTTATTTCCAGATATGTGGACATCTCGCCCCGGATTGGATAACAGCAATGCAACTCTACCACTGACTTGCAACATGGATATTTTATCTCTCAAAATACATGAACCTGGAGGACCTCCAGCTGTGAGGTGTAGTTGCTAATGCTGACATTTAGCTTAAACTAGCCGAGACGTCCACTGCTGATTACCGGATGTTAAAACAACAACAGTCTTCCCTGTCGTGAATCAAGATCGTCAAGTCCATGAATGATAATTCACAGTGTGACATAGATCTGTGAGGATTTTCAAATACATGAGTTTCATCTTCTATTTTCTATCAGAAGCTAATGCAGGAGAAATGTGTAGGAGACTATTTTCATGTTCAGCCTGCATGAAAAACTCAGAGTGATCAATTATAATTACAAAAAAATTTTATTATTTTTTTAGTCAGTCAACCACACCTTAAACTTAGGGCTTAAATGTAAAAAGAGTCCACAATTTGACATAAAAAGCAATTTTGCCTTTTTTTATACTTTTTCCATCAACGCTCATGCTAAAAATATTTCTGTACATGCGTCACACTGGGCTAGTTTATGCCTAAGGTATATGTAACTAAATGTAGTCAAAATCTCAATTCTTCTCAACTTTAAGAAAAAAAAAACCATACATTTTAATGTATACAAACTCGTGTGAATTTTCACAAGAAGTTAAAGAAAATATCTGGCTGAATCTCATACAGACCAAACTTGGAAAACACTTTTCACCTGTGTTGAGTTCTCATGTGATAAAACAAGCCACTACTGTCAGTAAAACATTTACCACAAGTTTTACATGGATATGGCTTCTCACCTGTGTGAGTTCTCATGTGTTTTGTCAAGCCACTACTGTCACTAAAACATTTACCACAAGTGTTACATGGATATGGCTTCTCACCTGTGTGAGTTCTCATGTGATAAATCAAGCCACACCTGTCACTAAAACATTTACCACAAGTGTTACATGGATATGGCTTCTCACCTGTGTGAGTTCTCATGTGTTTAGTCAAGTCACCACTGACAGTAAAACATTTACCACAAGTTTTACATGGATATGGCTTCTCACCTGTGTGAGTTCTCAGGTGTTTAGTCAAGCCACTACTGTCAGTAAAACATTTACCACAAGTGTTACAAGGATATGGCTTCTCACCTGTGTGAGTTCTCATGTGATAAGTCAAGTCACTATTGTAAGTAAAACATTTACCACAAGTGTTACATAGATATGGCTTCTCACCTGTGTGAGTTCTCATGTGATAAATCAAGCCACTACTGGCAGTAAAACATTTACCACAAGTGTTACATGGATATGGCTTCTCACCTGTGTGAGTTCTCATGTGTTTAGTCAAGCTACTACGGGCAGTAAAACATTTACCACAAGTTTTACATGGATATGGCTTCTCACCTGTGTGAGTTCTCATGTGTGTAGTCAAGCTATCACTGTCAGTAAAACATTTACCACAAGTTTTACATGGATATGGCTTCTCACCTGTGTGAGTTCTCATGTGTTTAGTCAAGCTACTACGGGCAGTAAAACATTTACCACAAGTGTTACATGGATATGGCTTCTCACCTGTGTGAGTTCTCATGTGACGACATAAAAAACACTTGTGACTGAAAGATTTTCCACAGAGCTTACAATAAAATGGCCTCTCACCTATGTGAGCCCTCTTGTGCTTTTTTAGTGTCTGAACATCTACATTGTCTCCGTGATCTTCGCTTCGCAGACGTCTTTTATTACGTGTCAGTTCTTCATTGCTGTTTGATTCTGAGTTTTCTTTCCTGCATCCACCCTGATCTTGGTTCTCTGCTTCTGTAGAATTCTGACTCAAGGGCTGGTTCCTGTTGGGTTCTGGATCATGACAGTCTGTTTCGTTAGAAGGAGAAGTCTCCACGAAGATTACATGTTTTTGCTTCAATAGGAACTGCCCTTCATGCTGATGGATATAGAGTTCTGGCTGGTCCTCTGTGATCAGTGGATGTTCTGGTTCCTCCTGGTCCAAAGTGGAGGTTGACTCTTGGTCAGAGAGCTGCTGGTCAGTCAGAACATCTTTTTCCCAGGTATGATGCTGTGGAAGTTCTGGACAGGTAAAAAGAAAAATGTTGAGTAATGTGACAATTAAAAATGTTCCAATGAAGGCAGGAAGTTCAGGGCTCTAGAATGGGATGATTCTGGTCACAAATGTGACTCAATTTCTCAATTGTGCAATTAAATATCTACACTCAGGTTGCACCAGACAAATAGATAGAGAGATGCTAGTCTGTCAGAACCTTCTACTTTTCCCAGAAATTAAGCTTTGGAAGCTCTGGACAAGTTAAAATAAAACTGGAAAACTTTGAGTGACGTAACAATTACAAAAAGAATATATATATATATATATATATATATATATATATATACACCACTAAGTTGTAATCGTCTGATGCATCTAAAATGCATCTCAATAATTCAAATTTTGATCTCAATTATGATCTGGGTTTTAAATGATCATTAAAACTGAATTGAGCCGATTGTTAGCTCCTCCCTCATGCTTACTCTTACGCTGCTGAGTGGGAAATCAAGCGCAGCTCTCACAGCTCCAACCACTTTCCATTTTAGTGCGAGATGCAAACACGTCTCAAGCAAGTGAGATGACTTGAGGAATGCTTGGCAGAAGTTGTTTTGAGGAGAGGATAATGGATGCAAAATGAAAGATGTTCGTGGAAAATAGTTAAAACGAATTCGGTGATGTGGAAACATCACGGGTTCGAGGAGTCAGACGTGGATCAAGTAACAATGGTGTGTAAACTTTGCTATGCTGTTGTAGCTGCACCACAGAGCAAAATTACAAATGTAGTCAATACTTTGAAGACTGCTCACAAAGTGTCTTATGATCAGGCTATGAAGGAGTATAGAGGAAAAAAAACTCAACTCCTGCTTCATCCTCACAAACCTTAATTCATGCTACCCTGTACAACGTGACCTGAAGTCCCACCAGCTCCCAGAAGGTCAGAATAACTCAGACTGGGGCAGATCGGCCCGACTAGTTTCCACAGGCATGGTTCGGTATTTTTCCTGTACTTTCGCCCCTATTTTTAGTCCATGCTCTATTGAGGTACCTGGCAAGGCAGAGTTGGGCCAATATCGTGATTCTGGATGCTGATTGGCTAGGGGCCAGCAGCAACCACAGCCTCCCAGACACTGTTCAGAGAGGTGTACCGTTTTCCCTCCTTGTAAATCTCACATTTGATGATGGACCACAGGTTCTCAATGGGGTTCAGATCAGGTGAACAAGGAGGCCATGTCATTAGTTTTTCTTCTTTTATACCCTTTCTTGCCAGCCACGCTGTGGAGTACTTGGACACCTGTGATGGAGCATTGTCCTGCATGAAAATCATGTTTTTCTTGAAGGATGCAGACATCTTCCTGTACCACTGCTTGAAGAAGGTGTCTTCCAGAAACTGGCAGTAGGACTGGGAGTTGAGCTTGACTCCATCCTCAACCCGAAAAGGCCCCACAAGCTCATCTTTGATGATACCAGCCCAAACCAGTACTCCACCTCCACCTTGCTGGTGTCTTGAGTCGGACTGGAGCTCTCTGCACTTTACCAATCCAGCCACGGGCCCATCCATCTGGCCCATCATGACTCACTCTCATTTCATCAGTCCATAAAACCTTAGAAAAATCAGTCTTGAGATATTTCTTGGCCCAGTCTTGATGTTTCAGCTTGTGTGTCTTGTTCAGTGGTGGTCGTCTTTCAGCCTTTCTTACCTTGGCCATGTCTCTGAGTATTGCACACCTTGTGCTTTTGGGCACTCCAGTGATGTTGCAGCTCTGAAATATGGCCAAACTGGTGGCAAGTGGCATCTTGGCAGCTGCACGCTTGACTTTTCTCAGTTCATGGGCAGTTATTTTGCGCCTTAGTTTGTCCACACGCTTCTTGCGACCCTGTTGACTATTTTGAATGAAATGATTGATTATTCGATGATCACGCTTCAGAAGCTTTGCAATTGTAAGACTGCTGCATCCCTCTGCAAGATATCTCACTATTTTTGACCTTTCTGAGCCTGTCAAGTCCTTCTTTTGACCCATTTTGCCAAAGAAAAGGAAGTTGTCTAATAATTATGCACACCTGATATAGGGTGTTGATGTCATTAGACCACACCCCTTCTCATTACAGAGATGCACATCACCTAATATGCTTAATTGGAAGTAGGCTTTCGAGCCTATACAGCTTGGAGTAAGACAATATGCATGAAGAGGATGATGTGGACAAAATACTCATTTGCCTAATAATTCTGCACTCCGTGTATGTTCCAGTCATGAGTCATTTATATTTCAGTATGCTAATGTTTCTTGCATTGCATCATGGGAATTTTGGGCAAGAAATTATGTGTTTTACTTATAATTTGGTTGGTTTACTTATGTAGCGTTATGAAGCTTATAATGGTCTGCCCTTAACAGCTGCCCCTTCACACAGTAACATCACCAAGGCCGGACGCTTGGTTCAGTATGTTTACATTCCAGAAGAAGAGAAGAAGAACGCTTTTCCTTTAATTAAAGTACTTTATTTGTGATAAGCTAATCAAAGCATTTGTTGATCATTAATAATCAGGTGAATGATCTGTGAAATAAAGATGTCATGAGTTATGTGTTTAAATGAATAAACAGGACTGCACCAGACAGACTGATATACATTACCATGGAAACGCATGACACATTATTCTCAACCAATCAGAACTTTCGTCTGTCATAGAGAGAATCTGGGATGTTTACTTAATGTGTCCAATCCGGTTTACTAAGATTGGTAAACAATTAGGAGATATAAAAGAAGGCAACGCCATTTTATATTCAGTTCCACGTTAAGTTCCATGTTGACATCAGCTCTGTTCGATCCGAGCTCCAAAGGAGTTACATCATACTCTCAACATTGTTTTCAACCAGCTCTCAATCCATCACCGCAAAGAGGAGTACAGGCTGGCCAGCTGTATTTCCTGTTTTAAGCTGAGAACTGTCAAGCTGGAGATTTCCGTCGTTTGTACCAACGAGACAACGTTCCTTCAAAATAAGAGTGAACTTGCTGACGCCTGCCGACTACTACCGGAGTTATCCTCAGACGGGCGTTGTGTGCTGTGACCGCTGTTTCAACCAGCTCCAGTACAACCGAGGTCTTAGGACCTGGCAATTCCTGATCTACACGGGAGACTCCATCTACGGTACGTGGCAATATGGCGGCTCATGTCATCAGCTTCTGAAGCCTCGTGGTAGCCTAGTCATAATAAACCAGATTCGCTACGTCAGCCTAGAGATTCTGAACAAAACACACACACACACACACCAACACGAAACATCTAAATCCAAATGCATTCATCATTGAGATAGTCCTGGTAGATTGTAAGAATTTATAATTATAGAAATTAAAGATTCTTAAATGATCCCAACTCTCTCTCTTTTCTTGTCTCTCAGTCAATACAGAGTGTTTAAGTAAACTCCCTGATGATAAAAACAACCACTTCTGATTGATTACTTAGATCTAATTACAGAGTATAAATATACAAAATCAGATAATTAAATTATCTAATTACAGTGTATAAATATACAACTTCAAATCACTACATTTTTGGCGAGCTTAGCCTGATATCTGCACAGTTTATTACACTTTGTGCCGATTTTGAGACATATTTGGGATTTTTGTTCAGTGTGAGTTCAGAGAGAAAGAAAAGGCGAGCCCTTCCTCCATCAGCTTAGAGCAGTGCTTTTATCTTGAAGGGGGGTTGCACATTCATTGCCCTCCACAGGAGTCGCTGTTTCATCAATACACCTTAAAGCTGACATGGCGAGCGGCCATTTTGAGGCCTACATGTGAAGGTATATTTTTCCTGTCTTGGTACGTTGAAAACTGTATGTTTTATTGTTTGTAGCTGTGTTTGTGACACTGTGTGAACATTTTTTGTAAAATCGGAGATTTTACTCCCCGTCGGAATTAATTCCGTTCGGTGCGGCGACTGATCAACGCCTATTCCTTTCCGGTAACCACGCTAGCATAATCGTTAGCTTAACTCGCTAATATTATAAGCTGTAAGCCGTGGTTAGAGACCGCGGACCGCATCTGCACACCAGAGTGCCGTCGCTAAAGTCCCTAATTACCTCGTCGCTGAAGACGTTTGGTTAATCGGGCATTTTTTGTGCTGGTAGCTCCAGACAATAGCTAGCATTAGCCGAAGAGCTAACTAGCAACCTCGGTTTGGCCCGGGTACGCGTCCCGATAAGCTGTCAAAACCGCTCCGACGCAGCGATTCTGCGTCCTAAATTCCGCTGAACCTTCCGGTACAAAGTACAGTCGGTTCAGTTAGCGGTGATTCTAGTCAACCGCTCCGGTTTGTGACACAGCGACTTGCTATGGGGTTAAACGCCGAGTGACAGACGGCGCATGCGCGGCGATCCGCCATCTTAGGTAACCCGACACGTAGCTCGACCCGCCATCTTGGGTAGGTCACAAGAGAATGTTATTTTTGGCATTACTAAACGATTTTGCCCAAAATATTCATTCAAAAGCCAAGCTTCCCTGTAACTAATTCTTTAATAGGTCTACAGGTAAGGTTGTTTCTGGTGAAATTAGTAAATTAAAGAACACATTACTAATTTGGAAGATGGGCTCAGAGGAAACTATGCAATTTCCATCACTACTTCAGGCGGCGATGCAAAGCGCTTTCCTACCGATGATGACTGAGATGAGGAACATGATGAACATGATAAGCACTCTGCAGCAGGACGTCGAGGGCGTCAAACAGTCTGTGCGTGATTTTCAGGTGACACGGGCAGCAACCCCGTGTTTGGCCGAGACGCCTCCGGATGAGACGAAGATGCTGCAGGCTGATGTTTTCACAGGTTCTGACTCGCAGGTAAACAACAACACCTCAAAGGAAAGCAACAACACCTCACCGGTCGTTCCATCTGTGGCGATGTTAGGCGATACACCCATGGACGACGACCCCGGTACCGCTATCGCCGTGACTGACAAAGTTTTGCTAGCACCTCTGGTCGTGAGGACGGGGTCTGGTAGGCCCGCAGTTGAGGTCACTGTAAATCAGGGACATCGC